CTTACCACCTGTGCTAGGCATATCTCTTTGTTTGGGAATATCTTTTCCTGTTCCAGGCTTAATGTGTACTTCTTTTTACTTCTTTGTTCTCTGTGTGTCATATGGCACCTGGCCAGCCCCACTGCTATATCTGTTCCTAGAGGGGAGGTAATGAGTTCCTTTGCTTGTAGCCAAGAAGGGTGTGTGTCGACTATCTCCTTGTGTTGGTTTTGGGTCAGGCCCTACTGGCCAGGGGGACAGATACTCACTACTAAAGCTGATCTTGCTCTGTCTCTTCCCTACGTAAGCAAAACATTGTTCCACCCAGTGCCTCTGTGAGTCATGTCTTTCTTGGCTGCCCCAACATCTGCAAACAATATATTGGTTTGACATCCTGGAAATGTTGTTCCTAGGCAACAGGTGTCACTTGATCTGACATCTGTTCTCACCATTCCTGTTCAACATAATACTTATGTCCTATTCAGTAAAACGAGACCAAGAAAAAAAAAAAGGTATACCAGTTGAAAAGAATGAAATAAAACTTCCTTTATTCTCAAACAACATGATTTTCTGCAGAGAAAAATCCAAAGGAATGTATATTTTTAAAGCTCCTAGAACTTACAAGCAGTTTAGTAATGTCACAGGATAAAGGGCCAACACACAAAATTAATCATATGTCCATAAGGACATCATATCAACTTGAAATAAAAGTTTAAGTAATACCATTTACAATAACTCCAAAATACTGAAATATGTAGGCATAAACCTTACAAAATATGGGCTGTATCTACATGCTTAAATCTACAAAATACGAATGAGAAAAATCAAAGAAGATCTAATGAAATGGAGAGACATGTCAGGTATGTGGACTGGGCAATGCAATATATTTAAGATGTCAATCATCCACATGTTAAGCTGCAGATTTAGCACAGTTCCAGTCAAAATAAAAGCAGGATTGTCCGTCTATGTATATTCCAGTTGATTTTTAAATTTTAGGGAAACAAAGAAACTAGAATAGCAAAAATAAATTTTAAAAGGAGAAATCTGGTGGATTTACATGCCTTTATTTTAAGACATAAAACTACAGTAAGCAAGACAGTATGGTATTAGTGAAGGGATAGATATATCCATCAATGCAAAAGAATAGAAAGTCCAGAAATAGACTCACTCACATATGGCCAATTGATTTTTTGCAAAGATAAAAAAGGCAATTCAGTGGAGAAAAGACAGTATTTTTCAACAAATGATGTTGGAACAGTTGGACATCCAAATGCAAAAAACAAAAGTGAACCTCAACCCAAACCTTATAACATACATAAAAAGTTACTAAAAATGGACCATACATTTAAATGTAAAAGATAAAATTATAAAACTTTTATAAGGAAACATAGGAGAAACATAGAAGAAAATCTTCATGATTTGGAGGCAAGCAATGAGTTTTAGACATCACATCAGAAATATGATACATTAAAGAAAAAACTGATAAACTAGACTTCATTAAAATTAAAAACTTTTGCTCTATGACACTGTTCAGAGGCTGAAAAGACAAGATAAAGGCTGGGAGAATATACAGGGTGGGCAAAAGAAGGTTTATAGTTGCACTGTGACATTCTTTTGAGTTAGTAAAGTTAATGTAATAATCATAACCTGCATGTTTTTTCCATATGAACAACTGAAACCTACTTTTGCCCACCCCATGTTTGAAAACCACATGGCCAGCAAAGGACATCTATCTAGTATACTATATTCAGAACTCTCAAAACTCGACAGTAAGAAAGTGAAACAACCCAATCTTAAAAATAGACAATAGATTTGAATAGATTTGAACAGACATTTCACCAGTAAGTTCATGAAAGATACTCAACATCACTAGCCATTCATGTGTGATGATAAAGGGACAGAGGAGTAATTTTGAGATGATGGAACTCTTCTGGGTCCTGATTTATGATGGTATTTACACAATCAATACATTTGTTCAACCTGTAAAAAGTTAATTTTACTGTATTTTAATTGAAAAATATATATAAATTAACAATTTAACCCCAAACAAGTAAACTTTCTATGTCTGACCACCAAAGGTGGCATGCTTTGTTTCTTTAAACAGTCTAATTTCTCTGTGATGTCTCTCAGGTGTCAGTGTTGTACCTATATTTTAAAATGACAGAGCTTATAATTTTACTTAGATTAGTAGTACCTGTTGTTTCATTTGTCACAGATTTGGTATTCATGGTGAGTGCTGTGAATGGTAAACTTACCATTTCACCCACAGTGACAACCAATTTCAAAATACAGCTATTATACATTTAAAAGGGGGGGGCTCTCAGTTGGGGTTAGGATTGGAGTTGGGATTAAGGTTGGCTTTGGGTGAAACTCAGTGAGAGGAGAGAAAATCCTGAGCAGGGGGTGTTTACAGAGAAGCTTGGGAATGGCCCACACTTAGCCATTTTTATTCTCAGAAGCAGGACCTGGACCCTGTGTTTCTTTTTGACAGATGGAATAATGAGAGTTTGCATTTTATTCTTTATACTTGTCTGTGCTGTTCACGTTTTCAATTAAAAATATGTTCTCCTTTAATAATAATAAAAAAGCGAGTGCTATAAAAGAAGATAGTGAAATTTTGCTTCATAAACTTTTATAGGTGGACTTCCTACCTGTGGCCACATATCCCTGAATTTGCAATTTGTTTTGCTGGTGCTCTCAAGAATGGTGCTGCCCTGCCATCTAGTGGCCAGGTAGCAAGGGAGTCTTCCAACCTGCATTTCAATAAAGTAAAAATCTATCAAGTTTGAAGACAGTAAGTGTTCTAGGCATAGCTTTGATTTGGTTGTAGTCTCAAGCTGTTATATTGGATTTATTTATTTTTCTTTCATTTGTATCAGTTTTTGCCTCACACTTTTTATTGAATTTACTGGGGTGACATTGTACTTAGTGTCTTTAGGCTTCTTCCTGTTTGTTTTCTCACGGGAAATAATCTTATAATGCTTGTCCTTGATGCTGCATGGTGAATTTCTGTTACTGTATTATTTTTCCTAGAATATTGACATTATAAGCCTTACATTTAGTCCTACAATAAAGGCTTGAATTTAGCTTTAAATAAGTACATGTGATGGGATTAAGAGATTTTAAAAATATATCAACCAAATAACAAAATTTAAATCTTGTTTAGATTCTAATTCAAACAATCCAATGGTTTTCTAAAAAATTATTTAAAACCCTCACCCTAGGATATTTTCCCCCACTGATTTCTAGAGCAAGTGGAAGGGAGGGAGGAAGGGGTGGGTACATGCTCCAAACTGGGATGGGGAACCTGCAACTTAGGCAAGGCCCTTGACTGGGAACCAAACCAGAGGCCCTTCAGTTCTCAGGCTGCCGTTTTAACCCCTGAGCCAAACTGGCCTGGGGAAACCAGTGGTTTTTAAAAGAAACGCTCTTTGCTCTGGCTGGTGTGCACAATGGTTAGAGCATTGGCCTGTGCACCAAAGGGTTACAGGTTTGATTCTGGGTTGGGGCACCTGCAGGCTCTCTCTTTCTCACATCGATGTCTCTCTCTCTCTCTTCCCCTCCCTCCCACTCTCTCTGAAAAGCAATGGACAAAAATATCCTCAGGTGAAGATTAACAATATATATATAACAAAAAATAAAAGAAACACTTTTATGATACAATCAGGGGAAATTGAACACTGAATATTTGTTATTCAGGAATAACTGTTGAAGTATTTGCCTGTAAAAATACTAATATGGTAATTTTAAAGAGTGCCTATGTCTAGGAGATAAGTATGTAAATATTTTTGGATAAAAAGATACAACACTTGAGATTTGCTTCAAAATATTCCAGAAGGCAAGGAATGGAAGAAAAGGAAGTACAGATGAAGAAAGATTTGCAATAATTAATAATGGTTGAAACTGGCTGATGGGTTGGGCATGGAGGGGTTCATTATACGATTCTACTTTATATGTTTGATTTCCATAATAAAAGATTTTTTTAAAGTAACAAGTAGAAATGGCCCAGGCTGCCATTTCCTACCCAGAATCTATGCCCTCATTTTCCTTTACAAACGGAACCCCTATACTGTTGAGGATGCAATATAACTGCCCAGATTAAATTTTTTTTTAATGATTTTTTTCCCAGTCTCCCCTGTAGATGTGAGTGATGTGAGTGACCAGTGAGCAGCCGATAGAAGCCATTAGGTGTGGCTTCCAAGAAAACTCTTTAAAGGTACTGGCTCAGCTGGTAGGAGAGCTTCTTACCTTTGCCTCCCTCTTTTCTGCTGCCTGGGACAAACGCCTGAGGACCGGCACGGTCATCTGCACCAGCGGCAACCTGAAGGCCGGAAGGCACTGATGCTTTGAACGGTGGCGCCCAAAGAGGAAAGGAACCTGGATACTTCCCGTGGAGGTGCCACACCCGCTCTGGGACGCTTTCCCCTTTTGTCAACCGCGAGAATTAAACTTTTCTTATTGTAAATGTGCATTTGCCCCTACAGAGGCTGTGAACTCCCAACCAAGACAGGTCTTTCGGCTCACAAACCTGGATGCTTTCTAGAATTATCTGGGGTGTTTTAAAAACTATTAAGGCTCCAGAATGCCTGATTTCATTGACTTGGGGTGCGGCCTAGGCATTGGAATTTGCAAAAGCTGCCCCTGGTGATTCTAACTGGAGACCTACCGTTCCAGCTCGCCCTTGGATCCCCGGAGCGCTCGGCTCCCGGCTGGACCGCGACCAGGATCAGTTGACCGACGGTTATCACTCGTGACGAAACGGCGTAGGAGGAGCGACGGTCCTGGCAGCCTTTAGCGACAAAGCCGACAGGCTCCCGCCCTTCCCCCCGCCCCAACCGTGCGCCCTCCCGACGCCCTGCTCCGGGCCTGGATGACGCAGAGACGCCGGGCGTCCGGGGGAGGGGCGGGGTCCGGCGGCGCCGACGTGCGCCTGCGCGGCGCCGGGTCCAGGCGGGCAGTTCGAACTTCT